AATTACCTTTCATTTCCATACCTTATTTTACCTGGCGGTAAAGGGGGAAAGATATTTAACATACCACCACCTACAATGAACCCAATACCCCACCTCTAGTCTATACTGCAAAAGCTTACCTTTTAATTTACACTGATTTTCTATTGTTGCTGCAGTTTAATGTGTTTATTATAAAATTCAACAATTAATTTTATATAAACAGAAATTGGTTGAATTTCTTATATCTTGTATCTTGCACTTTTTATACATTTAATGTATTAAATTTTTTTATTTTAATACTAATAATTTTTCACTTAATATCATATGTCAGTTTCTCCATTTTGCAAATGTACACAATACTCGTTGTAGTTGGTACTAATTTATTAAAAGAAAAATAAAATAAAATATTTGGTAATTTTGTGCGAAAATTCACTTTTAAAGTTAGAAAATCAAGAAATTTGCGGAAAAAAAAATGAAACTGAATTTCTATACACGACGACGTCAAACAAAACAAAAATACCAGAAAAGTTTTATAGTCACTGTAGAAATGAAGGTACGGGTTAACATATTGCACAACAATACTATTTACAAATGACAGCGTGTATAAAATAAATACTGTGCATATTTCGCATTAATAGGAATATTAGGTCTGTTCCACTAGCTACTCGTAGTAAAACTTAAGTGAAACTCATGTGAACTTCAAACTGAGAGCGTAGAGCGTAACACAAATAATGAGCCAAATTTCGATCTTTACACAGATGTTCATGGAACAGTTTTGTGTAAAGTCTGGTGAGAACACAAAATAAATAAATAAATAAAAAAAACAAAAATTTAATTTTAAAGCAAAACAGCTGATTCACATATCAACATAAATTTTACTTGAAATAAATTGTACGAGTAAAATCTGTGTAGCATTTTCAAATTTCGACAGAGATGTTAGGCTCTCTTATATGCTCTCATTTACTCAAAAATTTGCAGGTGGATACACTTTTGTATACACAGCGTTACTCAAAGTTACTATGAGTAGCTCGTGCAAAAGACCTATTAATTTAATCTTCTGTTTTTAATTAAAAGTTATATAATAAATATATTGTAAAATAGTTATTTCTTATAACTCATATTTATGTAATATTAAATTACTTATTGCCATATATTTTCTTTTTATATAAATTATTTATTTTTTGGTCGTTAATTTGTAATCCAATGTTTACATTATAAGATTAAAAGTAGATTAAGGCCGTGTGCGAGTTCGAGTAAATTGATGATAAATTTAAGAAAACAGTAGATTATGTCGGTATGGCAGCGAATGTTGGTATTTACCAGAATTTCGAGTAGGGTAAATTAGATATAATTTAGGTAAATTAGGTGTTACCATTGAGCAAATTTTATATTGATATTTAATCAATACATAAATATATTTGAAAACTTTTAACCAAAAATAATAAATAATGAAAGGTGATTATTTTTCTATGCAACTCTGTAAATGGCTTAATATTGTAGATTTTTTGAAGATCTTGAAAGAATTGGAAAAGAAATGTTAAAATCTATTCAAAACAAACATTATAAATTTGAAAATGCCGAAATGAGTGAAATTTTTTTTAAATTTGTTTAATAATAATTTTGTATTATTACATTATCTTACAATAATTATGAACAGTACTTATCAGTATTTACGCCTTTCTTTAAAACAGGAAAGTGTAATAATTATATTATTAGCGATTTATAAAAAAGGGCTGTGTTGCTTACAGCCATTTTTTCTCCAAAGCGTATTAGAATTGTAGTAGTTTGCTCCTAAAAGGTGCAAATTTTGAAATCTATTACTAAACAACACTGTTTTGCCTTAGTGCCGGGGCACAAATACGCCGGCTCTCATGCCGGAGTTTAAACGGCCATATTGTATTTTTTCTCATTCTCAAATTTAAAATTTGCATTGAAAACAACAACAATTGTACTCATGCCGTGCCCGAGACACTCTGCATAACATGGCCCTAAAGCTGTAAACTTCTAATTTCAAATTTATTTGGATTTAAATTCGATTTATATTTTTTTTTAAGCTTCAATTTTTGAACTTTAACCCATTATTATCAGAGACACAGATGTCTAGAAATACAAACGGAATTTAGATTTGAAGTAAGCAGCCTCAAATTAATTTAACCTCAAAAAATTTAAATAAATATATAAAATAAAAAAAAAAATATTGTAAATAAATATTAAAATAGTTCAATAATCTTGAACTATCAAAAACAAATTAATAATTATCATATAATTCTTTAGTAAGTACGTGATTTCATATATACTACTATCTACCATATCATGTGATATTACTTTTTATATTTATTCACACTAAAACACTTTTTCTCACTTTTTAGAACTAGTTACCTTATTGACTTTGTCTGCTGCCACCGGTTGAGCGGTTTGGTTTGTTGTTTGTTATAAATTGTAAATTGTTTTGTTTTATCCATAAGTAAAAAAATAAACGCGATGAATTCGTTATTAAAAGTATCACTACAAATTGGTTTGTATTGGAAAAATTAATTACTCATAACTGTTTGTTGAATTAATCAAAGAAGCAACAAAAATATTTTATATTGTTTTGTCTTTATTATGCTTTTTCTCCCATCCCAGTTACTCCTAACCTTCTGTCGATTGCTATGTTAATCACACAATGGTGAAGGTTCACATCATTTTATATATATATTTTGCTGCTAAATAACTCCGCATGCACATTTTGATACTAATAATAAAATGAACTTTGGAATCATTAATATATGTAATTTTCTTGATCTTTACGCTATTGTTTAAAATTCTGCGTATGCATAATTCATAAGGTGTTTCGTCTTTACGGGTAAATGCAAAGAGACAGATTGCTTGTCTGGCTTCACTGCCGGAAACACATCAAATGCTGCAGAAAACATTGAAAGATTTTGCTGATGCAGAATTAAAACCGTTAGCCGGAAAACACGATAAAGAACATTTGTATCCAGCGCACCAGATTCGCAAAATGGGCGAGTTAGGTGTGATGGGCATAACAATGCCAGAGAAATTAGGTAAAGAAGTTTGCATATTAGAAAGATTTTAAATAGAATATTTTGTTTTTAGGTGGTAGTGGTTTAGATTATCTTGCTTATGCTATTGCAATGGAAGAAATATCGCGTGGCTGTGCGTCATCGGGTGTAATTATGTCAGTAAACAATTCTTTGTTTCTTGGGCCGTTACTAGCTTATGGTAACGAAAAACAGAAACAAACATATATTCCACCATTCACTGCAGGTGAAAGAGTAGGATTTTTTGCTTTATCTGAACCTGGAAACGGTTCTGATGCCGGTGCTGCGTCTACAGTTGCTACAGATCACGGTGATCATTATGTGTTAAATGGCACAAAAATGTGGATTACAAGCGGATACGAAGCAGAAGCAGGCATTGTGTTTGCGACAACACAAAAATCGCTAAAGCATAAGGGCATTTCAGCCTTTATAGTACCAAAGAATATTAAAGGATTTTCATTAGGCAAAAAAGAAGACAAACTCGGTATACGTGCGTCGTCCACGTGCCAATTAATTTTCGAAGACTGTGTTATACCAAAAGAAAATTTATTGGGAGATCCTGGATATGGGTTTAAAATTGCTATGCAGTCGCTCGACGCTGGTCGAATAGGCGTTGCTGGACAGGCTTTAGGAATTGCTCAGGCATCTTTAGAGGTTGCATGTGAATATGCCCAGAAAAGAAATGCATTTGGAAAGCCAATATCAAAATTACAAGCAATACAGCAAAAACTAGCGGATATGGCACTTCGTGTGGAAGCAGCTCGATTGCTTACTTGGCGAGCTGCTTGGTTAAAGGATAATAAAAAATCATTTAGTAAAGAAGCGGCTATGGCTAAGTTAGCTGCATCTGAAGCAGCTACCTATTGTTCTCATCAATGTATACAAGTTTTAGGTGGTATGGGTTATGTTACAGACATGCCCGCTGAACGTCATTATCGCGATGCACGAATAACTGAAATTTATGAGGGAACATCTGAAATACAAAGATTAGTTATTGCTGGTGCTGTACTAAAGGAAATGGAGACAAACTAAATTGTATGACAACACAATAAATTAATCACACTATATACACAAAACTATTGATCCTTACATTTTTGATATGTTCGTTTTTATATAATAAATATTATGAATGCATATAAAATTATGTGTAATTGCTTATTAAATGCTCAGGGTTACCGTAGAATCTATAGAATTCTCAAATAAATAATTAAAATATTTTCGTGTGTTATTCACTAAAAAATGTTTGATGGAGCAAATTGCTTTCGTAAGGTTTCATCAAATAATGGAATCACTTCTTTGATTTGTAGCTGCATTAAATCAACGAAAATAGATGAAATTAAGAGAACTCTATAAAACTTAGTTAAATTTATTATAACCAAGAATACAAATATAGATATATATTTTTTCTACTGAATGTTTATTAAATTTAGTAGATCATAGTTTAATTCATTCATTGTGCCTTATAAAAATTTATGTCTTCTCCACTGGTAGGACTGTGTTGAGGTAGATAACGCTCGTATGTTGAAATGTTTTCGTCCTTTTAACATGATTGTTTAAAATGGTGAACCATAAATGATAGAAGTGATATTATCTATATTGTTATATTTTTCATTTAAGTTTAAATTATGACATTAATAATATAATATGTGCTATAGTATTTGGTTTATATTTATATAAATTTGCCTGCGCAAATCGAGAGTAGCATATAAAAATTTCTTGAACTGCTAACCCTTTGTAAACAAATTCAAACAAATCGTTTAAAGTATGTATTGTTTCAATTTAATTTATTAAAAAATACTAATAAATTTTATCTATATTGTTAACACACTTTAAAAGAATAAGACACTGGTGAGCGTAGTGTGCAAATAAGGGCGTATTTATAGAAAAATACTATAATACACATTATTATTATTAATATATTCATTTTATAGTTTCTGCAGTTCGTTGGTGTTCAAAGTGATAATTACTAAATTAGAATTAAAAATATACAAAAAATGTACCATGAACCTATTAAATAAAAGTTTATTCTTAGCTTTTAATTTAGAACAATATTTTTACTTGGTATAATACAGCATATATGATATTATGTTGTTTTAAGATCCATTTTTATTGATGCGTACTAATTATTTGCGGAGCTAGACTTTAATAATAAACTCACTTAATTCCTAAACGATTCCCCACTCTGATGAGCCTATAGCGTTTCCTATGAGAAACGCGTCACTGAAACCTTATAGATTGACAGACGGTTATTAATTTCTCAAATATCTGTTGATATTGGTTAACTATAATGATACTTTCATAATAAACGTAAATACAGATGGATATTGGCAAGAATATATAATGTATAATTTGTAATATATTTATGTAAATGTATTTGATAAGGTTACATGTTATGTTAGGCCTATTTTAATCGTGTCTCTAGTGATTAGTCGTCATTAATGTCTGGAAGGTGCATGAGAGTTTCGACGCTGTCAGGGGACGTACTGTTCTTATGCATGCCGCAGTGGATGATCTATTTGTCACCGCTCCCTGGCGGGATACGAGGTTGCTGTATACCTAAGAAATGGATACGTGGACTCCTCGTACTTATTTGTAATGTTGATCTTTGAATTTAAGTTTCAGCAGTGAATAATATGCCGACAATATACTGAAGGCAATATACTGTTTTTGTAGCCACAGTTGGTTATAGGCTCATGATAGTGACAGAATGCAACTTTTGATGCCCCACTTTGTTGACTCCAATTAGTAACTGAACGTCTAGACACGAAATTTTGATTCAGATGTACTGTTTTAAACTTAAATAAAAGATTATTTTATACTTTGTATTTTTAATTTATTTTTTATAGTTTACTTTTATAAATATATTGCCAATGTTTCAAAGTTTTTTCTTGTTTGACAATTCATTTATTCAAAAAGCCCTTTAAAAAATTTAAACATACCTATGTATATTATTGCTTTAAATTTAATTAATATTCATATAAATCTCTCACGGTTAGCTGCTTCATCTACAGTTAAAAAGGCAGTTCAAATACTGGTATCAGCGATTTCGGAAACCATTTGTCTTATTTTTGATCAGATAATGTTTTGAAATGAGTATTATAAAAATTTTAACCAGTTACCGAGCATAGTATTTTATTTTTTTGTTTGAAATAGCAAACACTTTACAAATAATTGAATATAAGTCGCACTTCATGGGCAGTATTGCTTGATTTTCCCCGACATAAATGGTTATATAGTTAAATGGAAAAACTGCAGTAGGAGCAATCGACATGCCACATTATTTCCACCTAGTTGTGGTGAAGTATTTTCAATTTTCTGATACTTACAATACACTTAGATCCTGTTGAAGATTGTCTTAAATCTTATTTCGCTGATCAAATAACATTTAAAAAAAAAATTGATGAATTATGTTTTTTTTTTTCGAATTTAATTTTGACCTTCTTAAATTATTTTAAAACTATATTAAACTCTATCACGAACTTTATAGGAGTAACTCGGATGAGTTAGAGTAAAATTAAATATCAGAAACTAGGTGTAATAGTGCAAAACGAATACGCCATTGGTCCTAATTACCTGGAAATCGTATAATATTTAATATGCATATTTAATTAAATAAAATTACCTGCTTGTGGAGTCCCTTTGAGAGGTATTGAACGGTACTTGGTCGTCGTAGGTGACGAGTGGCATTCGACTACTAAGTTTAATTCCATTAAATCTTTTTTATTTGTATTAATATTTTCCAAATTACGAATAACTTTCTGTCGATCGTAAAAGTTGTTCGATTGAAAACAAATTTAAAAAATTTTAAAAATAACCTAAGATCTTAATTCTAAGTAGACTGATGAACAAAGACATTTTAAATATTATATATAAGTATAAAAATTAAAACTTAATTAGAAAGTTAATTAAATTTTTTTATGTATTAAACAGAATAAACAAAGTCAAATTATACAAAATTTATATGCATTTAGATTATCTATTTGCTTTTATTACTTTCGATTTAGTGAGTTTATTTCCAACTTTGACTTTAGACTGTTGTAAACTGGAGCAAAAAAGAACCTGTAGAGAAAAAGAACTTTATAATTATTTTATTTCAAAATCACAAAACTTAATACAAACTGCTTGAGCCCATCCAGCGAAAGGTCCATATATGGAACGATAATGATTTGCAATATCATTATAAATTTTTGTTGTCATTGTTTTAGACGTAGATAAATGTGGCATGTATGAGGTCTTCGCTGTCTTGAACATATGAACATCGATAGGAACTGCTTCTAAATGATTTAACGACATTAAACAAATACAATCTGCACATTTTAGACCAATTCCAGATATTTTTGATAGTTCTGAGCGTGCTTCGTAATACGGTATACTTTTTAATCCATTTAAATAATTATTACCACCATTTTCATGAATCTTTTTAACTGCTTGAGATATATATTTAGCTCTGTAACCAAATTTAGCTTCTTTTAACGTCGATTCCAACTATGAATTAAACTTTTAGCACACTTCTAATTTGTTTATAGTTTGAAAAATTAATACTTCATTTTGGTGTAGTAATAATTGGCTTAATGTAGGAAAAGTGTATTCATCTGCTCCATCAAAATGACCAATTTTCGTGCCATATTTTGTGCAAATCCAACGTACCATAGATGAAATTCTTTAATATACAAAAAGTCATTATAATCATTATAAACTAATAATGGAAAACAAACCTTCCAATATGATTGTTTTGACTGCAAATAAAGGATACTACATTTTCGAAAGGCTCTTGCTTCAGAACTCGCACTGCTGTTAACTTAGAATCCATTTTTGTAAAATGTTGATGTGCTGCTTTCCATTGTTCTATATGAAGCAACAGATCAAAGTCAATTCGTAAATATTCTCGTAACATATTTTCAAAGTAACTCTTCTGGTTGCAGATCTTTAATGGCACACTTGTTTGTAAAGGATAAGCTTTGAACTTCACTGAAGAACTGCTTTGCGTTAATATCCAAAATACTTCATATGCAACGCCTTTCCATTGTTTTTCTTGTTGTATATCTCTCCTCCAACTTTTAATATTTTTTAATATGTATTAAGATTAATAATATGTATTAAATAATTATTTACCGAAAACTTTGCCCACCGCATAACGTTAAATCTAGATTTAATTGATTTTCATCAATAAATATTTCACCATCATAGAATAATTCCATTTTAGCAACGTTTAAATCTAAAATTCTTTCCGCACATAATTTGACACAATACCCTAGGTGTCTTACACACTTTATACACATATAATTGAAGTCCGAAACCAAAGAATAAAACAAGAAATAAAAATGCAAGAATTCAGTTCATATTGCAAATGTTCAAGTCACGCCTATCTGATATAAAGTTCGATTAAAAATTGGTCACATTCACTTAAAAAAATAAAATTCTACTTTATAAGCAAATAATTAGATCTAAACTACTTTAAAGTCGTGTTACTTTTGGCAATGCTGCTCCATCCACCATCAGAAACCTTTAGACAATGTGCGAGTAAATTGATGGTATATTGAGGGTTATAGTAAATTGTGTCGATATGGCAGTGCATGTTGGTATTTATCAGAATTTCGAGTATGGCAACACGAAAATTATTATTATAAAAAACTGTTAAAAAGAAAAAGTAAGTTCCAACTGTCGCGTCTTCCGCCATTATTATTGGAAGGAGCCATAAATAAAATAATTTGTAATATTTAAATAAATAAAGTAGATAAAGTAAAGTAACTACAACAACCACTACATTGGTGAGCAAGCCGACGCTGAACACAAAAATGGCTACACAAGACCATAAATTTACCGAAAATACTACCCGAGTCACCGAAAACGCAACAAACGCTGCAATAAAGCTGCCAATGTCAACATTGATAAGAAACAACATTATCTTTGGTTTATACAGTTGGATTGCTTGTTCCAAGTCAACCACATAAAAGGCGACACTCAAAAGTTTGGCACGGTTATCGCGGGAGTGGATGCGTCGTTATTAGAACAGATTTATAACACCATACAAAATCCACCAGCAACTCAAAAGTACGAAGCTATCAAGCAAGTAATAATGAAAAACTTTGTGGATAGTGAACCAAAACGCATACAAAAACTAGTTAACCACTAACTAATTAACCACTAACAGCTTGGGGATAAAAAGCCATCTCATCTATTAAACGAATTACAACGCACTAGTGAAAACG